TGAGCAAACACGATGCCTGACTCCCTTGGAGCTCCCCACTTCCTTTAATTATCCTCAGCCTTGTTGCCAGCAGTATCCCACCCCAGGCTTCCAGCAAGCTGGTGCATTTTGGGCTTGTAGTCTATTCCCTATGGGGAAATCCTTGAAATTAAGGACCCTCAGAAACTGGAGACCAAATTGAATAGGTTCGAGCATGGTGTCTGTGTTGCATTTGACCAATTAAGATGCAACAGAACTTCTGTATCTCACGGTCAATTCTGGTGACAGAAGATTGATGCATGATGACTCTCGTAGATCTCTGGGGTCTCACTGCCTCCGAACTCAATAGAATCTGCAGAGTTAAAAGACAAAAGAGAAGAAAAGGAACAACTATCAAAGTAATTCACAAGTCAGCAATCCTCCCTCTAGCCTGTTTGTTAAAATACTGCTCACAAGGATCTGATAGACACTGAAATAAATAGCTATGAAAGAGGTGAGCGATGCATTAGACTTCTCACCAGTCCCTGACTACAGCTACTGTTTCAAAATCTGCCAAGTGTGAAGTGAAGTGGCTATGCAATGGGAGAGTAAAAAATATTAGGAACTGTCAAACTCTCTCATCTGATGAAGACAAAAAGCTGGAGGAGGCATCTAAGACCTAGAAATCTGCTGATACGAGGACGCCACAGGCTGAGGCTGTAAAACACAGGTAGCAACTAATTGTCCATATAATTGATTGCTGGTCCTGCAGTAGTTCTTGGATTCACTCGACCTTCAGGAGCACGGGGCAGAGCACAGGTAGTACAGAAGTTTTCTGAAGAATGGAAATGCAGTGATGCCTCCTGTCATGACTATGGCACCCATGACTATGGCAAACATCACAGCATCGCCCTTTGTATGGCTGAGGAGCACATGTGAAGGGAGGAGGAGTAAAAGGAGTATTTTGGGTTCCTCTGAACCCTGATGAAAGCCCAGTAATCTCAGCATTTATTTATAAAGTCACTGCTTTCAAAATACTGTCAGAGAAATGGAGAGACTGCTTACTTTTGACATCAGACTGAAGACTTCATCTAGTCTTATGACTAAGTTTACATATAGCATTTTTACCATTTTAAATCATTCCCATTATGAGTAGGCATAATGAAAGCAGGAACTCTCCCAGCTCAGAAGCAGCAGCATCCAGACAAAAGTCCCTTTATATAGGTGTTCCACATTCCTACAGATTTATGGAACCAAACCAGCAGAAGCCCCTTTTTAAAGTATAACCGTTGCTGCACTGCAAGCTCATGTCTCTCTACCCACATTGCTGACAGACATGAAGGAATAAAAGCAACACAGAAACAATGGACAGAGCTGCCAGAGTGACTGCACACTGCTCAGCCGAGACTTTCTGAGCCCCTCTCTGTGCTCTCTAGCTGGGCAAACATCCATAAGGATCATGGTTAGCACTGCTTCAGAGAGCAGTTCGCAAGGCAGGGAGCAGGGTCTGGCTGGTTCTGGGGGAACCTGCAAAGCACGGCACTCCCCAGTGCTTGGCTGTGGCCTGATTGCTGTGCTCAGGTGTATTACAAGATCGCTGTATGCTATCAAAGCAACATTAAAATGGTAGAATACTGAAATATAACCCTAATCCTGATTTTCTCTCTGCCCTTCCTGCCCAGCGTACTCCAGCAAGACAATACCAAGTCTAATGCCTTAGTTCAGAGGAGCACTTTTGCTGTATCAGATAAAATTCAGCTACTGCTGGCATTAATTACATTAGCTATAAATATACAGGATGCCAGGGACAGCCTTTGCAGGGCCTACATGTCCACTGCAGTGACAGAGGCCAGTCCTTGTTTGTTCTGGAGATCAGGACAACTGAGTGACTGTTACTGCAGAGACTTCCCAGCTGCAGACGTCAGCCCCCAGCCTCCTTCACCTGGTCCAGCTCACAGAGCTTCATCAGGGCATGGGGAGACTGGGCAATGCACAGACTAGTAGGAGAAACTCAGACCCAAATTCCTGGCTCCTTTTACCATACTTAAGGTTTAAAGTTTGATGTTAGCAAGTAAACAAATTGTTTTAATCAGATTCACACAGAAGCTTGTCTGAAAGTTGAACAAAATGTGAACATGGGCTCTCACCTGCTCAGACCCACCAAAATGTGAGATGCTGAACTCCCCCTTCCTTTATTCCCTGATGAGGAATGGCATTGTGCCACGATGGCAGTGTTGGCTGCTGGTAGCTTCAGCAGCCCACCTCTTGGCACTCTAGTGGTCAGTGATCATCCTCAGTGGTGGTGGCACCATTTCAGCCTATAAGGAGTAAGGGGCAGGGTATTAGCTAGTTTTCTAAGCTCCTTATGGGAATTCAGAATCCATTGTGGGAATGGAAAGACAATTTTAAAATAAATTGACCTGAATTGTCTCCCTCCTACCATTTGCCCTCTTCTAGAAGGAGGCAGGCAGGGATGAAGGAAGATCCTCACAGAGGAACTTTCTCTGCAAAAGGAAGATGTCCACACCACAGCTCACCGGCATTTCGAAAGGAACACCTCTAGTACCACTTAGTTTGATCAACTCATTTCGAAGCTACAGCTCTGATTACAGCTGATGAACCAAACCAGTAAGGTACCTCCCACCTCTCTCCTGCAGTAAAACTCATTACAAATTTGTAATACTCCAATACTGCTGAAAAGAAGTAAGTCTTGTTGCCTGCAGCTGCGTATGTTCCTTGATGTTACCAAATCCATAACCATCACCTATAATGAGTGGAAGAGTAATGTTATATTACCTCTATTACAACAGGGCAACAGAGCAGAACAGCCTCTGCCAATATACTGTGGTTTTGTGGGTCAGGGGAAGGTTTTATTTCTCTCTTAAAGTCTTGAATCCCTGTTTTAAAACAACCATGGGACACAAGGCAGCTTTAGAGCTGATCCTTTTACTTCTCCCTGATCTGTATTTTGAGATGGCTTCTTAGAAGAAGGGCGAATGTAATAAGCTAGCTACCATACCTTTTATAACTCTCCGTCAGGTCTTTGATTTGGGCCAGCAAGGAAACTTGTTAGATCTGATAAAGTAACTAAGCATCTCTGGAAAATGCTATTAAAAGAACATGAAACAAATGAAAAGCTAGGATACACTTAATGGTAAATCCATGGCCTCGCAGGTCAGCAGAGCTACATCCTGTTTACCATTATTATTAAATACCGGCATCGATTTGTTGAAGGATGAGACAGACCAGGCAACTCTCTGTAGGCTTTACTTGAATACCATTTCACTTTGAGATTAAACAAGCCCACAAGCTTGGATCACACCATCTTGTTGGGAAATTTTAATGAATTGATTGAATGTTGGGCACTGCTGTGGTCAAGCAGTAAACACCACCTCTTTGATTATCTATGTGGACAAACCCAGTCCCTGCTGACTAGAAAGCAGTGCCCAGCTCAAAGTTAGGACCAGCGCAGCATTAACCTGCTCCTCTGGAATAACAAGCTGTCCAGCCACTATCCCACATGCTGGTAGCACAAGCTGTTCGTATGGAAACAGTTATTATCATGGCACAGGCTCTTTATATGTTTTATATTATTTTTTCTGAGAGCCCACAGAGGTGTGGAACGATTTACAGCTGCTCTCCATTCACAGCAGTGACACATGGCTATGAAAGGAAGTCTGAAGAGTAATTATTTCCACCACCATCATGTTAGCTGCTCCCCTTTAATGACAGAGCAAGGCTCACAGCACAGGTAAGGAAGCTAAACTCAGCAACTACCTCCAGCAGGTAGGCTGCAACCCAGCCAGCAAAACTTTATGCAAGACCACAGAGAAAGGGAAGGTGATGGTTTTTATAGCTGCCCCATCCCTGGCAGTGTTCAAGGCCAGGTTGGACAGGGCTTGGAGCAACCTGGTCTAGTTGAAGGTGTCCCTGCCAATGGCAAGGGGTTGTAATTGGATGATTTTTAAGGTCCCTTCCTACCCAAACTATTCTATGATTTTTAAGGCTGATTTTACCCACTCATTCTTTCATGCTCATTCTTGCACATTCACATTCTCACTAGCATCAAGGGATCCAGTGAGGCTTGCCTAGAGTGACACAGAAGACAAGTTCTCATCTGATTCATCCTGAGTGGTGAAGCCACCATATGATATTTACAGTCAATATACTCTCTTTTGATACAGGCAGCTCTGGGTCTGCTTGAGTTACATCACCCTGTTGTTGCTCCATATCTGTGCTGTGCTCTTATCTGAGGTATGGCCTTGCTGCCACCAGCACTCATTCCTTCTGCAATGACATTCTCCTCTGCTCTCCTCTCACTGTTCTCAGCCTCCTGAATTGCAGCATACACACCATTCATTCTTTGCCATGATTTCCTCACAGAACCATGTGTTCTCTGTAAGCACTAAGCAGTTCTCACAGACACCTGGGTATTTACTCCATTTGATCTACAGTGCAAACACAAGGCCGATTTGGCCAGCAGTTTGTTCCCACATTGTCCCTGACAAGGAAGGTCACTTTATGTAGACCAGATAAACTGTCTTACAAACAGCCTGCTGAATGCTGGAGATCAATTCCCAACCTCAACCTGTCTTTACAACATTACTGTCCACCACCACCTAAATCTTTTCCTCAGAGGCAATTACCAAGAGTTTGGAAGCAGGGTCATGGCAAACGAAATGAAAAGAATGATGAGGAGATGCAATACCTTTGATTAGGGGAAGCTTCTTGCCCTGGTTTTGAGGTGTGCAGCACATAAAACTTGTATGTACCTTGTACAGCAGCACTGTTAGAAGAGTTGCAGGGTGAATCACTTGGAGCATGGCCTGGAGCAGGGCTTTCTTTCCCCAGTACTGAGCAACTGTGCTGGAACTGGATGTGGGGAAAAGCTGCAAAGGAACAAGAGGGAGGACAGAAAGCAGCTACACCCCATTTTCCACAGGTTCTAATGAGCATTTGCATTTTTTGTCTTCCAGAAGCAGATGTGAAACCCAGCCTGTTTTTAGGAAAATTCAGCACTGTCTTAAGAAGCAAAACAACACTTTCTCTTCTCAACAGCCATTTTTATTGCTTTTGACAATACACCACTGGAGGGAAAAAGAAGTAATTTTCTGCTCTTCTTTAGCTTCTTTCGTTGAGTAAGTAAATTCCTTGGGACTACTGAAAAAAAGGTGAATGGTTAACTTTACATCTAAGATGAGAACACAAGTAAAAAGAGTTGGAAATTCCCCAAAGCAGGCTACTCGCATTAGAATAGCACCACAAAACTGTCCAAGTAACCACTCTGTGGAGTAATTAACTGACATTTGCATGGAGAACAAGTTCTTACAGCCATAGCTAACAAGATGGAAAGTCTGTCTCAAGATGGCTTAGCAGAGGTTTAGGCTTGAAAGTGACAGCAATGTTTAGTTCAAGACAAGAATTATCAACAAAAATCTTTCCACTCATTCCAATGGACTTTGATGAAGGTCCCTCACACATGCACGCACACACACAGATCTTTCAAAACAGCCAGAAACAGTGTCCTGAATCATGCCTTTGACTCCCACCTCCTGCCGCAATACAGCCTTCATCTACAAAATAAACATACATGGGTTTAACAACGAAGAATAACTTTCCTTCATTTGACACATTCTGTAAAGTGCTACGTTTCTAAATTATACTCAGCTAAAATGATGTATCCATCTAGTATTTTAAATACAATAAATATAGAATGAGCTGCGTGCAACTGCACTTGCAAGTTTTGTTCTTTTTTTAGTAGATGCACTAGATTTAGCAATCAAAATAGCCTCCAATAGTGCTCCATGAAAAACTAGTAAGAAGTTATAACTGAAATCACATTCTTCAAAGATACCCCACACACTTCTCCCGTCCACACTGCATGGATAAGCATGGTGTTCCTGTGAGCATATGGAGAAAAGAAAAATAAGGAAGCTGAGAATTACCTAACAACAAAAAACAAAACCATATGAGTTAATGCTACGCAACCTCCCATAAACAGTCTGTTTTCTACATTTAATCTTGGTGCATACAACCCAGTTCTATTTTTCTCCATATTAAAAAACTCTTCCAGGAAGAACATCTTGCAAGATATGTGTTCATTCATCTTCATCTTGCTCTGCTTCACTGCAAAGTGGAAAAGATTCTTGAACAAACTGCCTACACATTGGACACTGCTGAAAATACTTGATGCAGCCATCACACAAGCACGTGTGCCGGCAGGGTAGGAGTACCCAGTTCACTGTGCCATTCTGGCAAACAACACAGTCTTTACTGTTTTCTTCATGCAATTCTGGTTCATCCTCAGCCAGTCCAGCCCTTTCTAGTAAGCTTCTGTCAGTACTTCTCTCACCAGGAGATGTGTTGCTTGAAGATGCTGCAGTACTATTTGCAGACATGAAGAGCTGCTACAATACACATATACACAAACATTTAGAAGCCAATGAACTTCTCCCTGATAGCTGAAAATACATATATACACGATGCAAGTTCCACTGGGTCAGATTGACTGGTTTCCACTGGGTCAAGTAGTGCCAGACACTCTTCCCCCATGTCCTGACAGTTACCTGGCCTTCAGTTAAAGATAGTTCAGAAGCATAAGATTATATAAAACACTGGGAAAATATTAAGGGTAAGTCATCAAATCTCAGCTAAACCAAATCAATGTACATGCATGAACTTTAACAGGACTGTCCAGGTTTTGAAACCCAGCTCAGGTTTCTGTTTCTGGTATACTCTTCTCTGTGCCTAGAGCAACGCTTCTATCCATTCCTACCAAAAATATATCCACCTAGCTGTTAAATCTACTTCACTCGACCCATTCCACTCTTGCTCACATTACAATCCCCTACTCCTTTTTGTTGTATTTTATGTGAAGTGCAAATTGTTTTGGGTGTGATAACTTAATAAAGCTGGTAAACTACCATGCAGCCAAAGGTGCCTGTAGAGAACACACTACGCAACTACACAGTGTGCAGCTGCACAGTTATTTCCGTTCAGCTGATGTGTGTTTTACAATGGAAACCATACACTTTGGATGTGTGTGGATGTACATACATTTATACAAACGAGCATAAATAAATTTTATTTATAAATAAATGAGAAGGTTTAAGGAGATCAACAGGGAAGTTTACCTGGATAGTATGTCTGCAAAAAATGGGCAGGATAAACACGTCTTTGGACAAATCTATTTCTGAATGAATGCTAATCAACTCAGTTGAATTAAGTTGGTCCAACTACTAGCTTATCAATATCATATATTATTTTTATTATGAGTGATAAAGTGGATTGCATAGAATCATATCATCAACTGCTGACAGACACAGGAGAAAGATGCTCCCACAGGAAGCATAGATAAGGGAAACTGGACTGGAATAACAAGACCATTGGTTTAATTTTTACTGGTTTGTGCTAGGCCTAAATTTTGTGGTTTTTTTGTGTTTGTCCTAAGTTTTGTGCATGTGTTGCAGTAAAAATACATTAAAAAAACCCAAAACAACAAAACAATCCAAAACCAATTTCTTCTTCACCTCTCCCAACTGAAGGGCAGTACAGGAGAAATTCTGAGAGACTAGAAAGCCGGTAGCATGTTCTGGAGACAGAAAGCATTCAACAGCTAGTTAATTTCTTCCTACTGTTTTAATAAGCAGACATGACCTAGGTTGCCTGGACTATAGTCAAGTAATTTCTCCACCAAATCTTTAATATTATAATATAAGATATTTCTGTTCAGTAACTTTTGCTGAAATTACTTAACTGATAATTTTAGCTATTATCCAGTTCTTTGTTTGACAATAAAAGTCTTACAGTAATTTAGGCTCCTGAAAGCCTACATAAGCTAAACTTAACACTGTCACCCAAATGAAACACACAGTATAGGGCTTACCTTCAGCTCATGGTATTGACCTTGAGCTAGAAGTAGATACTGATACAGTATTCTGCAGGGAAGTCTGTAGCTCTCATCAGGAATGTGAATTACAGCTACCATTGAGATCTAAAAAGAAAAAAAAAAGAAAAAGATATGTTTAATAACTTTCCTTTTCCTTATATGTTTCATATAAAACAGTTGGTTTGAAAGACCGCGTACCTCTTGACCTGCTTATTTCCTTAGACAATGGGGACTTCAACAATGATGACTTCAAACACAGCTTAAAAAAAATAAAACATACACAGGACATGGCATAAGACAGCACTTTGTGGCACTTCAGTTTTCTGCCCTTGCTCTCCATGGAGCCTTTTTTATGGCCAGTTTGCAGCAAAGACCACCTGTGACTGCTCTCACCTAACGCAATCACACCCCACACTGAAAATGCATCTAAGCACATGCACTCCTGAAGGTAAGTGCTCACTCAGGTGAGGTAGGGCTGCTTACACAATCACAGATGTGCCATGGAAGAAAAAAAATATTTCAACCACAAGAAGCAGGTCCTACACTCCTCTTTCCACTCCACTAACTCATGATGAGCTCCTCCTACATGGGAGAGAAGTTGACAAATTGCAAGGGGTTTCCTACAGCAACCGAGCCCCAAGTGACTGCAGGCATTTAGATTCCGTACAACTTCTGCAGTCACATCCTGGGCTGTCTTCAAGACAAGAAATGACCCTGTCCACTGAGCTCCAACTGCGTAATTAGAGAGGAACATGTAAAAGACAAAGTTTTCTCTACTTTCTCTCACTTCCCTCACAAACACAGGCCTGGGTTTTTGACTCTAAAAAGTGTTTAGAAGTGTCCCTGCTTGGTTCTAAAACAAGTAGGCAAAAGACAAAACTTCACTGGAAAGGATTATGAAAGGATCCTGTGGACTGACTTTAGAGTAATTTTTCTGAAAGTAAAAGCACTCCAAGCTTGCATGCTGTGCCTAATACCCCTCACCCTACCTAAATTACATAACAGGCTCTAAAAATAAGGAAAAAAAGAAAGTGAAATTCAATATTATTGTAGTTCCCAGAAGCTGTCAAAAAAGAAATGAAATACAGAAAAAAGCTGTTTTGTTAAAAAAAAAAAGAAAAAACAAGAAAATTAAAAGCAAATCAGACTTGCACTTCAAAATCCACATATGCCTAATTACATGCACAGTTTCAATATATGTACCTACACATATGTATTTATACTAACTGAATTTACTATTCTTTGGCAATAAGGTCTTTTTTTCTAAATCACAATGTGTCAAAACCACTCCAAAACAAACAACCCCACACCACTACTAGCTTTGTTTTCAAACCCGAAAGCCATTAAATCTGCATTAAAATGACAGCTTTTGTCTTTTGATAGTAAGATCTCAAAAGTTAACAGTTTGCATGTATTTGTATTATGTCATTCCACCACAAATGCTTTCTCAATGACAACACATGCTCAATTCTTAGTTTGTTCAGACACCTAGGAAACTGTTTAACTCTGAATGGGATCACTTCCTAATACAACCATCTTGATCTTCAAGTTATTGATTCCTCTGTTACCCTGTAGTACAGAAACATATACAGTGATACTATGATCTAGTAGAAATGCTACGCTGCTTGATTATAAAGCCCTTTCGTCTTCAGTACCAGGTATTTTCTCTCTCTAAGTATTTGTACACCATGATCAAGTTACTTCTTCATCTTCTGTTTTTTACCCAGGCCTGAGATCTAAGCTTTCTTCCACTTCACCCCTGCCAGTCTTCACATAATTTCTGTAACTCTCATATATGGTCATGCTAATTTATGGAGCTAGAGGAATATTAGGGCACAAAATCAAGTAGGTATGATCTAGCCACAAATATGGTTTGGATGAAAATTAGTCTCTCCAGAAAAGAGCTACTGGAACACCATCCATAGTGATGGACACAGACACACAAAATAATTAAAGATGGTGCTTGATGCACTGATGTGAGAATAATGCAGTAATACCATACTGGTCACACTGGCAAAGATCCCTTTCCACACTGTATTTATATTTTAAAAGCTCGTTTTTACAACAAGAGATGCAATTCTGACATTTGTCTGGCAAGGAGTTCAGGTAGAGTTACTTCTTTGACCATATTAACAGATTCCAGTCATTTTCCTTTTCCCCAAAACCAGAGGATATACCTTCCCCAATCTCCTTTCATCCCTTTCTTCTATGTTAACGAACAAAAGAGGTGTTACAAATTCACGTCCATACTGATGTCAAACACATGGAAAATAGCTGGGGCATGTGGGAGTGTCTCAAGTGGGGACAGGAGGGAGGGAGGCAGTCCTAAGCTTAAGTGACAAGGAGCCAAGGACAGGCACCACTTGGAAAAGAACCAGATTTCTTAGGCACTGGCGTGATCACAATCAATTTCCTAATGAATGTATGAAGAAGTGTTTAGTGGATTTAGGCAAATTGCTTCATAGTTCATTTGTATTAAGGTTCAAGCAGGTAGTGCTAATAGGTTATCAAGCCAATGAAAAGATGGGAGAGAAAAGTGTGTCTCAAATCATTCTAAAAAGAATCAATTTAGTGTTTAGAAGGGATATTGAACTGCATGTGACAAAGCTGAAGCTGTTTTAACGAAGAGATTAGGAGGAGACCTTTCCAGGGAGCAGAGTATCCCGTATCAGTCCACTGCAAGACCTTCACACCTTCCTGTAAACACCCCGGATCTGGCTACCATGAAACACAATGTACTGTATTACAGAACTAGGCTGTGGCAGAAAGGTAACTTCTATGTTCCTAACTGCCAAGCCAGCAGTCAGCTCACATATCTGTGCCAGACACACACACAAAAAAATCCTCTCGCTTTGCCAACAGCAATTCAAAAGACTCTATCAGTGCAAGAACTCCACCACAGGTTTATGCGATCAGAAAAATGGGAGTAATATCTTACTAACCTACCACAACCCCAGTTCATCTGACTACAGCGTTTACCACAGAGAACTTTGCTGAGATAAGCTTTCTGAAAATCATAAGCATCTTTTGAATGACACACACATTTTATATACAGCAATTATCTTTGCTCTTCTGCCATGCTCCCACGGAGTCACAGGTGACAAGGCTAGGGACCAAATTCTAGGGGACAGAGAAAGGACGCTGTTTTATTCAAGCCTATCTCCTGAAACATTCAGAACTTAAACACACTGACCCTAAAATATATTCTTATATTACTTACAATATCATATATTTCTCTGTCTTCTTCATCTGCTAACGTCAGCAATACTACCAAGGGATAGCGAGATCTAGGCACCGGGCCAAAATCAACAACTTGAGCATCTTCTGGTAACTGACAATGTTTTTCTTCCTTGTCATTTTTTTTAATGCTTAGTAGGTGTCAAGGAAAACAATCAGTGTTACTGCAATTGTAGACAAATGTGACGTTTGCATAAAGAATATTTGTCATCGTATTTGTTCATAAATATGTTGTGCCAAGAACTGCTGAATGTTCACAAGTCTTAACACTCCCTGTGCCAATGAAACAGCATTTTGTCAAAACAATTGCAAAAAAGGATACAAGTACTGTTGTCGATAGAGGTATTCGCTGTACAGAGCATCCTCTAATGCCTGAGGAGTCTTTATTCTGAAGCAGTAGACATGTTTCTGCAATGCTTTGTGGAGTTTTTGAACACTGCAGCCCCAGTAACATGTAAGAATACAGTCTTCCAGACAGTCTGGTGTCAGTATTATACCCTCTTGTAGAAAGAAGATAAGGATTTCATTAACCCACCTATGTGCAGGAATTCTGGAATTGCTAAGTGTAGGTTCTTACAGGGCAGCAAGCAGAAAACAACTTCAGCGTCCCAGACTTTTATCATAATCTAATCTCAGAATTCAGACCAGATTTAGTGCTATGAAAGTCAATGGAGATGTGAAAGTGGGTGCAAGGAAACAAAATAGCTGATTAAGCTAACAAAAGTAGCACACACATTTTGTGAAGGATAAATGTTAACTTCTGGTAATAATTTGCACACTTACTGGCAGACCCACAAGTACAACCCCTAGTCCGAAGTCCATTCCCTCCTTAGATAACAGTATTAATTGGATCACCAGCTTACAACACTATGTGGTCTCAAATAATAAGGCCCTTTTGATCATAGAGAGGGAGGATAAACAGAGGATCTGTGTGCTTAATTTCTTTTATAAAAATCAAACACCCAACCCATAAACTTCTAATCACTTACTGCACAAACAGGAGCAGAGCTCTTGAAAAGTCTCACAAAATTCAAGTGTCCAAACCTCTTGAAAAACTCAAGTTACCCGAAGACTACATCACTGGATTTCTTGTTTGGGGTTTGTTGGGCTTTTTTGATGTAGACAGAGGGGTAAAACTGCTGCAGCCCTTTTCTCATTCATAGGAAGGCTCCACATCTGTGATGGCAGAAGATGCCAATGCAAGTCAGCCTCGTTTATTACTCCCCAGCGATGCAGAAGGGCATGAGTTTCACTTCCTATGTGGGCTATTTCATGGATGTTAGGAACTACCTCAAACTCTGATCCAAACAGATACTTAAATTCAGTTTCCACTGAAACACAGATAGAAAGAGGAGATCTGTTTTTAAAGTAAAGTAGTACACTTCCACTGGAGACTGGGACTTAGACTTTAGTGGCTGGCATATATCCTGTAATAAAATCTATACAGTTCTACAATTCTGTAAAGTTTACCACCTACTGCAGGCATTTTTGTAATCTACAAATGTTTTTGCTACTTAGAAGTTTGTTACAGCAGGAACTGTTTCATTAATAAGAATTAAACTCTGTTTAAATAGCCCAAAATTTTACTTTTAAAACCACCACATTTATAAATGGTGTAAAAATTATTTCTGTTGTGATGATGGACAGAAGCATGTTTCTGAGGAATTTGATAAAAAAAAAAGGCAGAGAGCAAGAAAACAGAAAGCACTAAGTTCAGGAACCCAAACTGACAAAAATCAAGCACAGCAGAAATCCACTGACTTGTTACAGAAGCTGTAGCAGGATGAAGGATTTCTAACCCAAAAGGATTCTTCACTTGTCTCATCTGCTTTTTCAACATTCTTGCACTGGATTCTGTTTCTTCTGAGTTTCTCAGAATAACAGGAACACCCAAACCAGACCTATGAGACACAAAACAAGTGGGTTAAGTATTAGTGTTGACACATTTGAATTTTTCTTCACTCTAAATAGCAAGCAGCACAACGTCTGCCAGGATGCAAACGTAACGCAGGCTGCCAATCTGACTTCAGCTTTCCGTGGCAGAAGGTAGGAGTCTTCAGTGATACAGAAGATCTCTAAAACGGAATACTTAACTCTTGCCTCTCCAAAAAGGGAGTAAAATAAATGAGAATGGTCAATGCCCTCTAGTGGTAAACGGTTAGCCAGTACTTCCCCGCAGTTAACATTCTTGCACATTCTTTTACAGGATCCCCGGCAAAAAAAAAATCACTGCTTGCAAAGATGGAACAACCTTAATCGATTGGGTGCTCAAATGGAAGAGTAGATCATTCAGCTCTAAGATATTTCTCTAGCTGTAGCTACAGCCAGCAAGACTGAGATCATGGTTTCCCATGTAAACCTCAATCACAATATGCTGATACTGAATCAAAAGCCGTAAAGCCTCTACTTTGAGCAAGAAACCAAGTGCAAAATAGCTAAATCAAAGCTGAGACTCTACAACCCCTTCAAAGCCAAACCTAGCACACTGTCCCAAGTGGTATTCTTACCCTAAAAGGATAATGAAGAAAAGGTTTAAAAGTTTAAACACCCTGTGAATAAAAATAAAAACGAAAGAGAGGAAGAATATTCTGGGATGATTTTTGACACCAATTAAAACCCCCAAGATTTTCGTATTACCTGGGGCTTCTAAAAGAACCATTACATAAGGTCAGGATCTAGAAAACAACAGACTTACTTTTACATGTGGCTAAATATAATTCTTAGAAATAACTTTCAATAACCAAAAGTTGATTAGAGAAACTGTCCCAGATATGCTATAAGAAGATTATTTTGGAGACTAAAGAGATTCCTTAATTGCATTAATCCAGTCCTGTCTCATTAGTAAGGTAACAGGGAGAGGCTGTGGGAGGCTTTTGTCAATGCATTTTAGAAAACAGTTATTACTTAGCTCAGGCTGTACTTTCCTGAATTTGTGCTTTTGTTGCTGTCACATGTACTATTGACATGACAGCCCGTTTAATGGCTCTGAATTTTGGTTTAGGCAGCCATCAGAGTATTGGGAGCTGGAAAACACCAAATGGCACAAAGCACCAGTTCTTCTCCGCATCAACTGTTTCCATTTAGTATACTGAAATAGCAGCTATTACAGTGAGATGGGTCTTATATCAATAACTCAAGCTGAAAAGGGCACTACCAACTTGAATTTAATCAGTTTGAAACTGCTAAAGTAATTTTGTGTACAATACAGCTCTGAGCGAAATAGACAATTCTGTGTTTAACTACTACTTTTCCCTGTTTTTTAAAGCTTTTACAACTCCTGTGCGTCAAAAGGAGATGAAAAACAGAGCTTTTACTGACACTGGGCTCTTTCCTATTGATTCATGTCAGAGAGGTGCCTTTGTAAGACTAACTGGGAAAAACATCAGTCAAAAGTGATTTTCAAGTTGAGGAAACTACTTCAGGAAAAAAAAATTTGCAAATCCATTCTCAATAGCAAGAACCTGTTCCTGGCAGTCTAACAAATATTTGCCTTTACCATTTAACATCTTGTGTGCCAGAGTGTCACAGATACAACACAGAGAAAAGAGATTGGGCTGGTGGAAAATACTCTATACTCATTACTCCGTCTTTGAGAAATGCCTTTGTTTTGCTAGACTATGATAGAAACATTTGCATTTCTTCAATGATATAATATAGGACACTCAGCCATACTCGGTTTGGGCACATGGAGGGTCAAATCTCTGATGCAAGTAAAACCAGCCACCCTGACTTCCCCAGGGCTGTAATGAAACACACCAGTTAAACATCTTACAAAGAAACCAGGTGCAGCAGCTGTTTCACTTATTCAATACCCAAAACTCAGTGGAGCTAATCTCTCCTACTGCACATAAAGATGCCTCCTGTTTTATACCATCTGGCTGATTCTGAAGTAAAACCCCTGTTCTTTGGAAACTTTCTTCGCTGGTCAAAAGCAACAGGATAATCACCATGAAAAGCAGCCATAGAAAAGAGCCTCTAGTACGGTTTTAGCAGCAGCTGAAGGCAAAAAGGCCTCTCTGTTCAACAATAAGGTACAGTGTTGCTGTAAAATTTTTAAGGTAGTATTCAGCATACAAGGGATTAATATAGTTTTCATTTTATGATCCTGGTCTCTCAGCCAGGATCGTTAGCTGGTATAGAGGAAAATTAATTTCTTCAGAAGGTTAGTTTACAAAAGGCAGGAGGTTCCAACATCTTTGTTCATAGGTTAATTTCCCCAAAGAGCAGTCTGGACTTGGAACAGATGCTGAGCCTCCAGTTCCTCCTTATAATTCATCTACAGCTAAAAGAGATGACGCAGAGGATCGTTTTCAGCTAATTTAAATTCCAAGTCATTCCTATATACCCAGAGCATCTATTGGACTGGCTCTAGGTAGGTTACCTGTGCAGTAACCTACTCAGACTCTCTGAGCAAAGCCACAGGTATCCAGACCTGGCCATAAAAACAGCCACTCATCAAATCAGTGCAGAATTTTGCAAATAAAACCATCAACATTCTCAAGCAGCTGGTGGTTTTCAGGCTCACTGACACCACCACAAACATATCTGTAAAACAAACTGACAATTGATGCTGAAATGATGGGGGAAAAAATGTTATTGCAACAATATATTATGTATTACATACTTATATCACACCATATGCATTTATAGTACTCTCTGTAGCAAATAAAGGATCAAGTTGTTTTCACGAGTAAGTTCTAGAGCACTTAAACCATGACTGCAACTGCAGACACACTTAAGTTGCTTCGAGGCTATTGGTCATATGGCTGTGGTAAGGTAGAGTTCAAAGGCAGCAGCAATCACCTCTGAGCAACTCGCTACATATTCACAGGTAATGATCTCCTGACTGCTGGTTCTACTTGACTAACAGTTCCTTAACAAACTAGTTTGTAGACAGTTTGTATATATCTACATAAATTGCAGTAATACGTAGTGTAGATACACCTAGAATCTCTGATCTGGAAATAAAAATGCCTCTGGACAGTCCTCTGCACACCCTCTGGCCCAAAATGCATCAATGGACACATGTAAGGATCAGAGGTAAGGACCTTCTAACATTTTACAGTAGGGAATTGCAAAGCAGGCCCGCAGTGATATGGTTTAGCGGTGGTCTTGGCAGTCCTAGGGTAATGGTCGGACTTGATGATCTTAAACGTCTTTTCCAACTTAGCTGATTCTGTGTTTGAAGCAGGTTCTCAGCTGTCACATTTAATTCCACACACTGTTTTCCTTCATGTACAGAAATAGAGTGCTGGCAGCTTCTTTCTTAAATAGGGGCAGGAATATTCCCAACAGCCTCATCTGCCCCAGAAAACAGAGGAGACCAGATACAGCATGGCTCCATCCACTTCAATGGGTTTGGCAGTGCTGGGTTAATGGCTGGACTCAATGATCTTAAAGGTCTTTTCCAACTAGAATGATTCTGTGTTTCTATTAAAAAATAATAAAATTGATAAATGGATCACTGGTTTGGGATACATATGCAGGAGATTTATTTGAATTATGATTCTGCATCATTTTTTGGTAAAGATAATATTTTTGAAGAACTGATGAAGCAAAAAAAGAAAAAGTGAAGTGGATGGCAATGTAATAACATGAGTGTGCAGTAAGACACAGAGAGAGCATTATGAAAGGATTTCTTTAACTTTTTCTCCAAGTAAATAATGAGGTGGAGTTTCCTCCAGCAAAAGAATAACAAAGACCAGTTGCCTTCACTACCACTTGCCGAGCACTAGGGGAGGCAATGCAAAAGAGGAACAAAAACTTTCCACCGAACATCTGAAAGATCAAAAGACGTGCTTTATTCCCACTGAAAGCAATGGATAGAACACGCTTGAGCCAATGGCAGCTAACAAAGTGATGTAAAAAAAAGGGAAAGACTTTACACTGAAGGAAAAGTCAAGCAGAGTATTTGTAAACTGCCAAAAGGACAAATAGCTACAGCTAAAACATCTGTAACTCAAAGAGAGACAATGGATGGAAAACACTGAAGCACAGCACTACAAATATTAATGTTGAGCTAATGGGAGGAAACGAAATAACTCAATTTTATTCTCTCCAGAAGCCACACAAGTGTAATGTATCCAGAGTTCCTACACAAAGTATTTTGATTGCCAATCAATGCCCTGCACTGGCAAGTATCAGTATTTACATCTACAGATGCTCCTGAGTTGGCAGGAAAACAGGCAGAACAGTGCTATGTATAACAGACATGCAGGACCTGCTTCTGAAAAAGGCAGCAATGACATCTTTGCTGAATCCTAGCAAACACAAGTAGAAGGTCTTCCACTCGTGGCCCCTTTATATACTTTAGCAGATCAGTTATTTAAGGCTCCTCCTCATCCCAATCCCAGCACCCTGTTACGTTCACCTTAAACGCCCCCTTCTCCTCCAAGTTCCAACAGCAGAGCAGGCTGGTGCCCCATCAGCAGTCCTGGGTACTCTCATACCTCAGTAACAACCCTGCCTTAAAGCCTGTCAGATTTAGCTGCTACTCGGCCTGACACTAGTCATCTTACTCAATATCTGCCCTTTTTATTTACCATCAAGATTTGATATGTTTATCTCCAACACTGCCAAACTTTTCTCCTGAAGGAACTCTCCCTGCTCCCCACCCCCACGCTCAGGGTCAGGCCCTCTCCTGGCCACCGTGTTTCCTGACAGCTCTCATTCTCCTGCCCGAGCAGCCCCTCTTCTTCCCCTATGGTCAGTACTGGCCCTCCTTATCATCTCTCCTTCAACACAGCCCCACTCCCCGACCTCTGCTAAGCCTCACACACCCATCCCCACTGCCAGCCCCGACGCTGTAGCACCCCGCATCCTGAAGCTCATTCCCCAAGGGGTACCAGCTCCTATTACCCCCCTCCTACGCCTTGCCACCTCAATACACGGACAGACCTCCGCAGCCAAAGCCCTTCGCCCCAGACCGGTACCCACAGGCAGGACCGGCCCCATAGGAACCGCCACTGCCGGCCGCCCCGCCGACTCACCATGCCAGCACCAGGCCGCTGGTGACCAGGAAGCAGACGAACACCACGGTGATGTAAAAGAGCGGCGAATACTCGTAGAGTGTGACAAGGAACACAGCGGCCATGGAGACAGGCCGGGCCGAGGCACCCTCACAACACCCCTCTCCGGCTCGGCAGTCGGGCGCATGCGCGGAGGCGGAGGGAAGCCGTTGCCCTCATCTTGCCAGGAGATGGGCGGTGCTGCTGGCCCCTGCCGGAGTTCCCTGCCTGCGGTGGCACAAAGTGTTAAAAGAGCAAGAAAACGCCTATGCGCCGTCCGCCACCACCACCTTAATCGCCTCAGGCCTTAACGCGGCAAGTCCGGGCTTACAGATTGATCTGGGTGAGGATGGGGTAGCGCCAAATGCTGAAAAAGTCGCTGAAAATGTGCAATTGTATCAGCATTTAAGTCGTTAATTATCAAGAGGTTGTACTGGACATGTGAAGTATTGACTACATTTTCATTCTCTTTGAATGAGCCAAGCAACCATACTCTCAATTCTCACTAATACAGGATTGCCACTGATACATAATGGTTTGGGTTAGAGGGACCTTAAAGCTCATACAGCTCCAAATGCTGCCATGGGCAGGGACACCTCCCGCTAGACCAGGTTGCTCCAAGCCCCATCCAACCTGGCCTTGAATGCTAACAGGGATGGGGCAGCCACAGCTTCTCTTGGCACCCTGTGCCAGGGCCTCACCACCCTCAGGTGGAAGAACTACTTTAATCTAAATCTTGCCTCTGTCAGTTTAAAGCCATTCTCCCTTGTCCTATCCCTACATACCCCTGTCAAAAGTCCCTCTTCAGGTTTCTGTTATAGCAGCTGAAATTCCCAGCAGCACAAAAAAGGCCAGACATTTACCCCAGCACCACAACAGCCCTCCACCAGCAGCCTATTAGGGAAGTGTCTGCCTCGTGCTCAACTCTCGTATTTGTGACTCATGAGCTCCAAATCCTGGTTTACTACACTCCACTTGTACAAACAAGAAGTGCCACAAGCAGCAGAACTTACTGATTTCTGCCTTGTGCTTGAATTTTCTGATATTTAATGAGACAGACATTCTAGCTGAGGCTTTTTAGTAGACGTTTTTGTGTGTGCATTCTCTGGTGTTTTAGTAAAGTATGCAAAGTTACTGTTACTTAACAGCCTTGTTTAAGTGTGGTCACCCTCCCCGGGCCTGGCGCTGACCCTGCCTGCGGGTTGATACCCCAGCCCGGACTCAGCACAAGGGGGATCCTCAGCGTATCAGCACTTAAAACAACCACCCCTTGCCCCCCTTAAAGGCCATCAACCGCTGACAAACAACCGTCCAGACCCCAAACCCACTCTCCCCGAGCACAGACCGTACCGCACCAGAAGAAACGGCCGTGCAACGTTAGCGCACGGCCCCGCCACGTTGCCATGACTCCGCGGGAGGGAAGCGCCTAGCCGTCACGGGCAGCAGAGCACAGCACGGTGCGAGGCCGAGGGCGTCACGTGGCGCCGCGGCACGTGGGCCTTCCCGCTACCCGTAGGCGGGTGACCCCGCCCGCCCAGCCGGGATAACATTGCTGATTGGCCAGCTGTGGACAGGGGGTGGGAGAGAGGCGGGGTCTGTGCCGCGCAGGCTCTCTCGGGGTGCGCAGCCTCAGCGAAAGGGTGGCTGGCGGTGGCTTCCGTTGTTGGCGCGCGAGCGGTGGCGGTTGGGCGCGCGCAAGATGGTGAGAGGAGCCCGCGGCGCCTGAGGGGGGGCCCGGGCCGGGTTGGGGCAGGGCTGGGCTGGGCAGGGCAGGGCAGGGCAGGGCAGGGCAGGGCAGGGCAGGGCAGGGCGAGGCGCGGCGAGCCCGGCTGCCGTTGAGGGCTTGGGGGGTGCCCCGCTGAGGCGGGAGGGGCAGCGTGCAGCCGGGGTCCCCGCGCGGTGGGGTGGGGTGGAAGCGCTGAGGGGAGAACAGGTGCCTGTAGAGTAATGGGGACCGGGGTCTCCTTAGGGCGAGCCCTTCGGTCTTAGGGTGCTGCCAGGGAAGGTACTGCCGTGAGAAGCTCTCCCGGCCGTGGCTAAGCCCCAGGTCGTGCCGTGTTCACCTGCTACGGACCTCCCCAGTTGTTTTTCTGCGGGCGTTGGCAGCCTGCGGGGGGAGAGTGAAGAAACAGCTGTTTAAAAAGGAAGTTGTGATCTGCCTTGCCGGGAGCCAGCTAAATCGGTTTCTGGTTATCTCGTAGTATGGTGGCTGAGGTTAATCAACAACAAGACACCCCCTCCCCTGTGCTGAGTGGCACATTTGCCTGCTGTTTGCAGCCCTTCTGTCTCTCGAGTTTCTTTAGTTTTTACTAAAGCAAGCACCGGTGAGCCAGCTTAGCCCCAGCAGATGATCCAAATCAGATGTCACCATGTGTTTTGCAGGCACAACCTTCATCTTCTATTAGGGATTTATGTTTCTGTCGCTGCACAGATATGAACAAGGGTGTATAGTGATAGGACAAGGGGGAATGGCTTTAAACTGTCAGAGAGTAGGTTTACATTAGATATTAGGAAGAAGTTCTTCCCTATGAGCATGCTGAGGCCCTGGCACAGGGTGTCCAGAGAAGCTGTGGTTGCCCCATCCCTGGCAGTGTTCAAGGGCAGGTTGGACGGGGCTTGGAGCAACCTGGTCTAGTGGAAGGTGTCCCTGCCCATGGCAGGGGAGTTAGAACTATATGGTCTTTAAGGTGGCGTCCAAATCATTCTGTGATTCCGTAAGAGCACTGCTTACCCTGCAGTGTCTGCTGGAATGCATTATGAAACTGCTGAGCTCAGAGAACTGGGAGAAATGCTTCCTTCAGGAAAGAGCATTTGCCTTACTGTTGTTCCAGTTCCAGCTGGTAAAAGGAAGCAGAGGCACAAGACTTTGTGCCAGAATTTGGTCAAGGTGGAATTTTTTTCTAGGGGTAACAACAAATACAGGATATTTACAAGGTGATTTTGGAATTGGGGAATGAGAGACACTTCTCTGCTTCTTGAGGAAAATCTCATAAACAAGCCAATGTTGAGTATTAGGAGACAGAACTCAGAATTCAAATAGTAACTTTCTTCTGATTTATAAGCAGTGATTTGTCTCAATGAAACAGCTCTTTAGAGTGTTAGGCAGAGTTTATGATAGGTAATTTTGCAACTATTTATTATTTGAACTTTTTTTTTTTTTTTAAAGAAGTCCTGAAATACAGTTGGTTTTGGCACAAAAGCCTTGATGCCTTAGGAGTTTATGAATACAGTAGTATGAATAAGCCAGACATGTTAACTTTTCTTCGTCTAGCTGGCATGCATGCCATAACTGGCAATAGAGGTTGTGTGTATAAAATGTTATTCAGGAAATGGCAGTGGTTGGCTTGGTACAGTTTGAAAATTGCATGTGTAATGGAAGATAACCTGCATAGTTGCTTGCAAAATAATTTCCTTCCCCATCTGCAGTGTGATGACTAATATGTTATCTGGACATCTCTTCTGAAAATTTGGAGTTAATCAAAAAGCATGTGTACTTTTACTAAAATGTCTAAAATGTTTTCTGTGCATAAATCTCAAAAGTTCAGTTAATATTTTTGTAGGTAAAAATAAGCCTTCACCCTTAACTATTGTCTGTGTTCTTCTGAAATATTAACAGTAGCTTCTACTCTTTCAAAGTTGAAATTAATTTAGTGCCTCTCTGAGGGCCTTCCTTATTTCAGGGCTTATTTTAGCAAATGAACTGCAAAATTTGTTTACTTCTAAGAGCTCTGAGAATAATCCCACTCTGGGAATAGCTAATAAACTATTTCTAGTTAACTGTGTGGCCTTGAAGAGGGATAGTAAAACAGGTAGGTTTCAATACTAGGTTCTGTTACTGTGTGTTTTAAACTGCATTCATCCATGTTTTTTCTGGTTTATGTGTATGTTTTCAAACTTTGGACAGGGTGCATGCAATTCCACTTCAGTAGAGTTTATGTGCACCTATATGTGACATGGGGATTTTTTTCTGTTTTTCCAGAAAGATTTATCACCCCCCCCCCCCCCATTTCTGTTTTATAGAGTGAATCTCTGGTGGTTTGTGATGTTGCTGAGGACCTGGTGGAGAAACTGAGAAAATTCCGGTTTCGTAAAGAAACCAACAATGCTGCCATTATAAGTAAGTTAAAAACATGTCTGACAAAAATTGCAAGGTCTTGCAGAAAATTCTGTCTCTTCCTTCCCATGTCATGTTGCTGCTGTAACAGGTAGAGGTGAGTCAGAAGGCTGTTTCGTGTATGAACTTAAGTTCTTCCAAGCCTGCCTGTACTTTTAATAGTAAAGCAATGCTTTTTATGACACAAGACTGCATCTGCTCATAGTATTTTTACTTAATTGTGGCTTGGAGTCTACCATGCTTTGTAAAATGATAATAAAAAATATCTAGGCACAGTCATTTTGAGTTTGTAAGTTTTATAGCCTTTAAGTAGGGGGGTTTGGCATTTCTGTCTTTGAAATTTGGGGATAGTGTATTGCAGTGAACCCTGCTCAGACTGTGCACTTCTAACCTCAGTGATTTTGTGAAGTCATGGGATGAAGCAGCACAATGGAAGCACAAGGCATATACTTGTGGGGGAATGTTAAAATGCATCATGCATATGTTGTATAAATTGATTGAAAGAAACGATCTCTTTTATTTTGATTTATAGTGAAAATCGACAAGGATAAGCAGTTGGTGGTACTGGATGAGGAGCATGAGGTTTGTTAAATGAATTGTAAATAAGAGTATCTTCAGCCTGCAATGTATTGTTGTCTCTAAGGTACTGCCTTAGTTTCAAATTGTTATCAAACTCTTAATCTAATTTGGGTCATGAGCTTATTTAAATGCATGGTCACTCTGCATGTAAAGCACAGCACTATTTATAGTGGAGCTATGCAGAAGCAATTGAATTGACTAATTAATTGCAAAAAGGAGAAAGCTGTTATAAGCTGTTAGGACACAGCTATGTAAAAAGAATCTGTTACACCTGCTGGCTGGCTGAAGAGGTTTGTGCTGTTTCCCCGTAAAGCTGCATATTTGCCTCTGAGCTGGTCTGCCATCAATTAGAAGCTAGGATTGCTAATCCTCTGCAGACTCTAAATTTGATGGGTGGCATAATAAG